CCAGAGTTAAATATTAGTGTTATAATTGCTATTTAAACTCAGCCTGACTTGAAAGAATAGAATTGTCTATAAAAAGATAAGTAATTAAATGTATATCTTTATAAATTCTAGGGTGTGGTTCACAGTTGAATATTTTTAAATTTCTTTTACTTATTATATTTATTTAATTTGCTACAGGACATGTGCTCACCAAAGAGAGACAGAGAGAGGGAAAGTGAGAAAGCAAGCCACCAGGTCTGAGACTCAAACTCTGGTTGGCCATGTGGGAGTCCAGTGTCTTAGCTACCACTCCACCTGCTGGCCCCCACAACTGAATATTTCTTGCTTGAATTTATAAAATAATTGCATTAGGTGTTTTTTTTTTTTTAATCAACACTGAGACAAGAATTCTTATGTTATTATTTAATTTTATTTATTATTATTATTTTTTAAATTTGCCGTAGGGCATATGTGCTCAACAGAGAAAAGAGAAAAGGAGAGTGAGAAAGCAATCCACCAAGTCTGTGAATCAAATGGTAGTCAAGTCCAGGATTCTTTTTTTTTTTTTTAAGAGAGATTTTGCTATAGGGCATGTATGCTTGTCTGAGAGAGAGAGAGAGAAAGCAAGAAATCACCCCCCAGGGAGGACTGCCACACTGCAATCCCTTCTCCATTCCCCTCTTGGGATCTTGGACATGTTCACATACGCATCTGGCATGAGTTTTAAGCTGCTGGGTCTGGGTACTTGAACCACGATCGACTACATGGGAGTCCAGAGATATAACCATTATGCCATCTGCTGATCCTGAGGCCAGAATTTTTTTATAGGAAGGAAGCTGTTTACATGAGTTAATAAGAATGGATGTAACTGTGACCGACAGGTGGAGTTGTCGTTAAGGTACTAGACTCCCACATGGCCAATGGTGGTTCATGTCCCAGACTTGACAGTTTGCTTTTTCACTTTCCTTTTCTCTCTCTTTCTTTGTCTGGTCAAATTAAAGTATAATGATAATAAATTAAGTAAAAAATTCTTTAAAAAAAAAAAAAGGTGTAACTTGGGCCAGCAGGTGGCATGGTAGTTAAGGCCCTTGATCCCATATGGCCAATTCCACAGTTCTAGTCCCAGACCTGGTGTTTTAAAAGTCATACCAGACTCATGTGTATGCATGCCCAAAATCCCAAGAAGAGAATGGCGGAGAGGGATTGTAGCCTGGCTATCCCCACGGGGATGATTTCTTACTTTCTCTATCTTTGTGTCTCTCTCTGGCAAGCAAATGCACCATATGAGAAAAAGCTTTAAAAAAAAAGTAATTTTTAAACTTTGAAGAACCTTAACAAACTTTGAAGAACCTGTGTATTGTGCTTTCTGTACTGTTAATCTTATTAGATGGGTTAGTATTATTCCTTAAGTATATAGCGCTTTATGGTATTTGTGCGTGTATATACATAAATGTACACAGGTACATACATGCGTATATATTTGATGATAGTTGATCATTAATGTTATTTTTAAAATACATTGTTTAGAAGTTTATGTATTCGTAGTCCTTGTCACTAATATAATAGGTTATAAGCATCTTCAAGACATGTACAGGATTAATTTGTTCTTTCTTACCACATAACACCTATTGATAGGGTTTTTAGTGTTTATCTACATACTGACTTCTACAATATAGCCCATCTGCCAAAGAAGGATATTGAGAGTTTTTAAGTTAAACTCTTCTGAGAACTCTGAGTTAAATTTTTAACAATTTTATCTTTTAATATTTATTTAATTTATTATTATTATTGTAAGTTTGCCTTAGGGTACATGTGCTCACGCAGAAAAAAAAAAAAAAAAACCAGAAAGAGAGAGGGAACATGAGAAAGCAAGCCACCTGGTGTCTTGGTTTGAACCGCAGTTGGCCATGTGGGAGGCCAGCACATTAACCACCACACACTGCCTGCTGGCCCCTATCTTTTAGAACAATGTTTGAGACGGACCAGCAATTGGTGTAATAGCTATGTTGCTTGGACTCCCATGTAGTTGACTGTGGTTTGAGTCCTGGACCTGGCAGCTTAAACTCACGCTGTGTGTGTGCATGCCCAAGATCCCGAGAGGAGAATGAAGAAGGGATTACGGCGTGGCCGTCTCCCCTGGAGAGTGATTTCTCACTTTCTGTCTTTATCTTTCTGGCTAGCGCATGCACCCTATAGCAAAAACCTCTCCAAAGAAAAGAACAGTGTTTGAGACAAATTTGACAAATTTCCTCTGTTCTTAGGACTTCTACAGTAAAGGTAGGAGTATCTGGGAGTTTGCTAAAGTGTTATTTCCAACTTTACAATTTTCTTCAGATCTAATGAGGAGAGAAATATCTTTACTATATCAAACAAAGGGGCTCTTTGAATGTATATAGTGTTTGGCTAGCTGCACAGATCTGTTGGCAAGATCTGTCCTTTGAACATGATTCATAGAGGATATAACCCAGTATCTTAAGATATATAGGAAATTGAATATTGATTTTTAGTTAGAAATCTGTTCAGAGCTTTCTGTCTTGCTGATAACATTACATTCTCAGATTACCATTATTCAGGTAATATACTAGGTTGAAAATTAGGGACTTCAGAAAACATATGTCTCACATGTGGTATCATCCAGTTCTTCAGTAATTTTAGCAGCTGCAATCCAATAACACATAATAAAGTTACAAGATTAGGTCGGTGTAAAAGTAATTATGGTTTTCCATTGTTGAAATTTGCTGTTGGTTATTGGATACATCTTTTTTTTTTTTTTAAGAATTATTTGCTTAATTTTATTAATTATTATTAATGTTTTTTAGTTTGCTATAGGCCACATGTGCTCACCAGAGAAAGAGAGAGAAAGAGAAAGCAAGCCACCAAGTATGGGACTCAAACCAGGGTTGACCATGGTAGAGTCCAGCACCATAACCAGCAGATGGCATAATGGTTACATCGCTGGACTACCACGTAGTCGACTGTGGTTCCAGTCCTGACCTGGCGACTTAACTAACCGGTCATGTATGTTTGTGCTCAAGATTCCGAGAGGAGACTGGAGAAGGGATTGTGCCATGGCTGTCCCCTCTGGGGGGTGATTTCCCACTTTCTGTCTCTATGTCTCTGTCTCTCCAGTGAGTGCACATACCCTATTGCAAAAATCTCTTTAAATAAATAAATAAATAAATAGGGACCAGCAGGTGGTGTGGTAGTTAAGGTCATGAACACTCCCACATGGCTGAAGATGATTTGAGTCCTGGACCTGGTGGCTTGCTTTCTCACTTTCTCTCTCTCTCTCTCTCTCTCTGTCTCTCTCTAGTCAAATTAAAATAAATAAATGAATGAATAAATAAAATTAAATAATTATTTTTAAAAATAAATTAATTAAAATAAAATAAATAAGGGGCCCACAGGTGGCATGGTAGTTAAGGTGCTGGACTCCCGTATGGCTGACCACTATTGAAGGTTCGGATCTGGTGGCATGCTTTCTCACCTTCC